TTGTTTTCCTTGTAGGCACTTATGAATCTTGTGAGGTCTGGTACACTTGGGTTATGTGGAAACTCTGGTCTGGGCCTGACTTTTCAGCAAACTGCACCCCTTGCAGTTCTCTATTCCTGACCAGTATCCACTGAATGATCCTGTGCTGATTGGAGGGCAGATCAGCTGTCCATGCTGTGCCCCAGCTTTTCCCTCATGGCCCAGTCTCCCTCATCCCACCACAATCTAAACACTTCCCATAGGATGGGCAATATGCCAGTCCCTCACAATGACTCACCGGCCTCTGAGTGGCTCCTTTTTTCAGTTGTCTGTGGCCCCTCACTCCTGCGTGGGTCCACGGGAACCCCATTAGTGGTCTAACTGGCCTGGGGGCCATCAAGGCCTTCTTCTCCCCTGCAGCCTCAAAGCAACTTCATACAAAGGGCACAGCAGCTCTTGCTCTTTGTGCTCACCAGGATCAGCTTTGAAGTGGCTGGGGCTCAAAACAGGCGGAGCAGTCCTTTCTCTCTTCATGGCTTCTCCTGTCTCAATACTTTGAATTTTAAAGTAGCTATTAAAAGTAGACAAATTCAAAATAATTGCTTTGAATTAAGGGTATTGTAAACAAAGGTGTTTTTAGAGAAAGTGACTATTTTTGAGGAATTTCCGCTCAAGGAGAAAGGGACTTTAGATTTTTGAAAAGTTCAGACATTTTACATTTAAGTTAATTGTACTACTGTACTTTATTTGCAGGATGATGCCAATAATGATCCACAGTGGTCTGAGGAGCAGCTAATTGCCGCAGAATTTTGCTTTGCTGGACTTGTTATAGGCCAGACTGAAGTGGATATCATGAGTCATGCTACACAGGCTATTTTTGAAATATTGGAGAAATCCTGGTTGCGCCAGAATTGTACACTGGTTGATATGAAGGTACGGATAAAACAGATTTGAAAGTAAAGGTTATAACTGAGACAAATCTTTAGTTGTATAATTTTTTAAAACTTTTCTTTTGTGATATTCTGTTTCTAGGTTGAATTTGGTGTTGATGTAACCACGAAAGAAATTGTCCTTGCTGATGTGATTGATAATGATTCCTGGAGACTCTGGCCATCAGGAGATCGAAGCCAGCAGAAAGACAAACAGGTAGGTATTGCTTCAGGCTTTTTATCAGGCTGGGATAGAGTAGAAAGGAGAACTGAGAGCAAAAGAAAAGGCAATTATTATTCCTTATAAGTTGATATAAGTCTGATTTGTTGGTTGCTATTTATTTTTAGATTATTATCTACTATGTCCTTGTTTAGGAATAATACTTCACATAAATAAAGCAGATTTCTCAATTATCTTGATAGAGTCTCACAGAATAACAGAGCAAGTATTATCCTTGTTTGGCTAATTGACAACTAAGGTTCTAAGAAGATGAGTATCTTCTCAATTACAAAAGTAAGGGGCAGATCTGGGGCTCTACCCCTAGTCTTCTGGATCTTATCAGGCTCCATTTCTGCTCTTTCCTATGAAAACAAAATGAGGGCAAGACCCTCTCTATACTTAATACATAAGAATTCTCAGGGCAGTTCATTGTAGGTGCCGATGCAGAAAACTCTTAACCTTAAATGAAAATAAAAGTATACTAGTGAATTTTCTCTACTTTAATTCAGGCAATGAATTTGTAGACTAAGATATAGATACATCCTTTGCTTTGCACACTTTTCATAATCCCTACGTAACACTCAGAAACCATATAGTTTCAGTTAGCAAGAGATATTTGTTTTTTAAACTTTTAATCTTATTTTCTAGTCTTATCGTGACCTCAAAGAAGTAACTCCTGAAGGGCTCCAGATGGTAAAGAAAAACTTTGAGTGGGTTGCAGAGAGAGTAGAGGTAAACCATCTGTAGTAAACCTGTACTGTATTATGTGTTTTGCTTCTAAGAAAATCTTGTTTCAAAAAAAAAAAAACGTGGGAGGGCATGATTCTTTTTTTTAGTGACTTTGAAAGAGAGTAGCACCTTTAGGAAATATACCAGCTGGACTATCCTTACTGGTATTCTGGAACTCCCTGCTGTTAAGCTGGCCAGTACACTCCTCCCAGATCCTGTTGGGGAAACCTGGAATCCTGTCTCCTCTCTGTCATTGTAGGACAAACCTTACATTTTCCTATGCACCTTGCCATTGCTACTCATAATTCCATTAGCATGGGATGGATGGGACTCCATGTAACTTTAAAATGTCACTTTTAAATTTTGTGGTATTATTACTATAATTCCATGGAAGTTGAATGGGGTTTGTGGTTATCCAAGGGTCATAAGCACCTTTTAGAAAAATATTTCCATGGGAACATACATTTTGGGTTCCAAGCAACTAACATACAAAGATTTATAACATGACCTCTAATTTGACTGATTGTGCCTTAAAACCTCCGTAAAAGAGATTGTTTCTAAAACTCTTAGGATGAAATCTTTTCTATCTATCTGTATACAATTTAAACTAACATACAAAGATTTATAACATGACCTCTAATTTGACTGATTGTGCCTTAAAACCTCCATAAAAGAGATTGTTTCTAAAACTCTTAGGATGAAATCTTTTCTATCTATCTGTATACAATTTTTTTTTGGCAGCTTGCCAATATGGGGATCCAAGCCCTTGACCCTGGTGTTAGAAGTATTTCATATTATAGCTTCCTGAATGTTAATTTAAAAGGTTTGAATGTTTATCTTTGCTTTTTATTATATTAATAAATACAATTTATTTAATTAAGAATTGTATTCTTTAGGTCTTAATTATGAAGACCACTTTCCTTTATATATAAGGTTATTTTTTTAAAGTAAATCCTCTGTCATTTTGCTCTGTTTATAAATTTAGTCTGTTAAGAAAGAAAATATTTTATCCAGATGTAATTTTACCACAAACTATAGCTCTGTAAACTGACTATTCTTCTGGCACTTATTCTTATGTTTATCCCTTTTTATCTTTATGTTGTTCTTTTCCAGTTGCTTCTGAAAGCAGAAAGTCAGTGCAGGGTTGTAGTACTGATGGGCTCAACCTCTGATCTTGGTCACTGTGAAAAAATCAAGGTGGCCTGTGGAAATTTTGGCATTCCATGTGAACTTCGAGTAACATCTGCCCATAAAGGACCAGATGAAACTTTGAGGATTAAAGCTGAATATGAAGGTAAACTTCAGATAACTAGAGCATTTCAGGTACTTCTGATTTTGCAAAAAAAATTCTATATTTTAGACTAATAATGCTGAAGAAGCTTTGCCACATTTCCAAAGCAAGAATATGTGATATGCTAGGTTTTCATGATACCTCTAAACAGCTTAAGGTACTTTAAGAGCTTACAAAAGAAAGGAATAGGGAGAAAGAATTGAAAATGCAAACATGGAAGGATAGCAAAGACTAGAGTTATGAGAACCTCTGGTATCTTTACCTAATAAGAAGCGCCTCAAGCATTGGTTCTAATATGGTGCAATAGAAAATAACCCCAAAACGGTTACAGGATCCTGAGGTTGAAACAGCAGATCTTCTTGGCTGTATTTAATGGCCAGCCTTTCCTGGGAGGCAGTTAAACATGAAATTAAGGAGTAGTTTCATAATATAGTACATAATAGAAATGATGGGATAGCATTGATCTAAAGTAACGGAGCCCTGGGTTCACAACCAAATATTTCTCAATTGGAAAAAAAGTTGATTGAGTATTCCCTCTAAAGGCAATTTCTCCAGGAGTGTAGTTATGAAATTTTGCAGGGTAGGAGATGGGGGAAGGATCTCAGGCCCCTTTAATAAGCTAATGAAAGCTAGAACTCTGAAAAAATTCAAATATGTAAAGTTTTGGATTCTAGGTTAGGAATCTCAGCTTTAGAAAACAAAGGGATAATTTACAAATTTATCACAGAATAAAATCTTAAGAGAGAAGTTAAAAAATGTATTGAGAGGTCTTTAAAAATCTGGGTACTATATTATTAAATTTGTCATCAATTCTTGTTTCGAGATGTGCCCTTAAACCTCTCATCTCTAATAACTACAGCAGAAAGACACCTGTTCAGTGTTTATCATTCCTCATTTCAGTGAGCCTAAACAGCAATAGAAGAGGCCTATGAGCCATTGCCTTACTAACATGCTGACACCCACTTTAAACTTGATCTAAAAGATGACCCAAGCTATTCTACCTGCTTTATTGCTTGACTCACAGTAAGTGGCAGTGAAGTGTGGCAGTGTCTTGTTTATGCTTTTTCCAGAGAAGACTACTCAAGGAACTAAGACATATAGGCTTTTTATTATTTTTAGCCTATCTTTAAATCTCTTTTAAATGTTTAACATAATTATAAATATAAAAATATAATTGTTAATTTCCCTAGGGGATGGCATTCCTACTGTATTTGTGGCAGTGGCGGGCAGAAGCAATGGCTTGGGACCAGTGATGTCAGGTAACACTGCATATCCAGTTATCAGCTGTCCTCCCCTCACAGCAGACTGGGGAGCTCAGGATGTGTGGTCTTCTCTTCGACTACCCAGTGGTAAGATACATTTTATTTTTTTAACTTATTTATTACAAAACTTTCAAACATATACAACAGCAGAGAAAATAGCATAATGAAGTCTCATATGTCCTTTACCCAGCTTCAGCAATTAAGAGCTTGTTGCATCTATAGCCCCCTCCTGTTAGGTTATTTTAAAGCAGATCTTAGACATTAGAGTATTTTATAGTTAAATATTTACATATACATCACTAAGTGATAAGGACTCTAGTTTTTATTATATTTTATTTTTTATTAGCATATTCATTATTACAAATCATGCTTATCTTTATGCCCCTTATCCAATCTCTCTCCCCCTCCCCCCTCTGATAACCACAGATTTCTTCTCTCCTTCTGATAGATTACCTGTTTCTCTGTTGATTTGTTGCCTAGATGATCTGTTTAGTGCTGAGAGAGGTGTGTTCAGGTCCCCACTATTATTGTATAGCAGATGCTTCTTCTGTTTCTCTGGAGTGCTTTGTGGAGAGAGAGGACCTCTTCTTTTTTTCCTTTTTTTTTTTGGTCTCTGCTGGTGACTCCTATGTTAGTGCAGTCGAGTGGCAAGCCATCTGCATGGTGGCTGGGACCACTGCTATAGTGACTAGCTGCTTTTGCGGAAACCGTGGCAATTGTGGCTGTGGTGAGCTACCTGCATGGAAATGGTGTTTCTGGTGTGCTCTTTACCTGGTTGCAGCTGGGTTCCGCTTCCCCCAGCTTCATGCCTCAGGACCCCAATGGGGCCCCAGGGTGGTGGCGGCACTGGTGGTTCTTTATGAACCCAAGTTAACCTGATGCAGGATACCCTATATAACAAAAGTTGAGGAAGAAAATCAAGGACTGTAGTTTTTAAATCGTAATTGTGATACTTTATTCATACCTAAGAAAAATTTTTAGTAATTTCTTAAAATCATCTAATTTCCAGTTGATGTTCAAGTTTATCCAACTGTCTCATCTGTTTTTTTCAATTGGTTGTTTCAAATCAGGATCCAGCACAGGCCGTATACTGCATTTTGTTCATATGTCTTTTCTCATCTATAACAATTCACCCTCCTTTTTTTCCTTTCACTTTTTCTGTAGAAGTTTCCACATTTTGGATTTGGCTGATTATATTCCTAGGTGATGGTAATCATGCTCTTCCCTCTCCCACATTTTCTATAAAGTGGTGGTGAGATCTGTAGTAAGATCAAGTTCAGATCTTTTTTCCCTCAAGAATACATCATTCATGGTATTGAGTTTTTTAAAGTGAGTGTGATTGATTATGTTGCTTCTGTAGAGAAAATAAAATTTTATTTCTAAAAATTGGGAGTCAAAATAAATAACAAATAACAAAGTCTTATCTAATGGCTTGATGGAGCTAGATCTCAGAATAACAATATTGTGGTTCATTCATCATAGTTCAAGATATGATCTGATCTTCTGTAAGTTCAGAGAGTTGCTACTGTTTCATTCAGAGTCGATTTGTTTGTTACTAAAACTGCAAACTTTTTTTGATATGTAGCAAGTACTTTAACGTACTTGAGCCCTCCAACTTGGTCTAGAATGGACTGGCTTCTCTCTAGGCCTACTGTACTGCTATTCTCTTAGGATCTCTCTTTACTGCCAGTTTTGAGATTTATTTTGCCTTACTCTAATCTTAGGTCTTTTGTTTCCTAGGTCCCATGTTTTCCCCTTTCTTGCTTTACTTATTTTGTTGGAGCACATTCTTTGTTACTTTCCTGAGGAAAGAGTACAAATGGTGAACTTTGAGACTTTGTATATCTAAAATGTTTTTATTGAAGCCCCACACTTATTCCTAATAAGTTTTATTCCTAATAGTTTAGGAATAAAATTCCAAGAATATTGGTGAAATGGAGCTTTTGTAGCTATAAGCCAGTTAGTCCTTGATTCTAATGACACTAGACATAATAGTGCCACCTCAAGAAACTCTGCCTGAACAGACATGTGGCCAGCAAGGACATCATTTTTCTTATCCTACTGTCTTTTAGATCTTATTACTATTGCATTTATTTATAACCTGAAATTTTCTTAAAATTATTTTTTGGATTGGATTATTTTTACTGCTTGAAAATGTTAAAATAATTTAAGTTCAGAAACAAAAAATTAGCTAGAAAATTATCAAAACAGTTAACATACCTTGAGTTTATCTAAGAACAGTTGCTTCTGCCCACTTAATTTGTCCCTTGTTTTATTTCTGTTGCCTTTCATCAGGGATTTAAAAGGATAATAGATGTGAAAAGGACTTTGAAAAATGTGTAAATTTCTTTGCCAAGTGGATTCAGTGAGAAGGGTGATAGACGATGTATATGAAATATCTGTTTATGGCAGATAAAAACTAATTTTCCTCTTATGATCACTTTACCAGTACAGCTGTAAAGAAACTCCTTTCACAGGTCTTACTTTAGACAAGGATAATACAGTAGATTTTTATTGTCTGTCTCTGAATATAAAATAGTTTGTGAAGTTGTATTGTCATTATTAATTGACAGCTCAAGTTTTCTGTCTTTTCCTTTCTGAACTAATAGGTCTCGGCTGTTCGACCATACTTTCTCCAGAAGGATCAGCTCAGTTTGCTGCTCAGATATTTGGATTAAACAACCATTTGGTATGGGCCAGACTGCGAGCAAGCATATTGAACACATGGATTTCCCTGAAGCAGGCTGACAAGAAAATCAGAGAATGTAATTTATAAGAAGGAACATTATTGCATTTTTTAAGAGGAAAACATTATTGCATTTTTAGGAGGAAAATTTCTAGCTTAGCTGCAAAAAAAAAAAAAAAAAAGAAAGAAACAAAGATGAAAAGTTGATTTTAAATCAGTCAGAGAAAATGAATAAAATTAGTGAATAAATGCTTCCTTAAGTTCATGGATTAGAAGAGTATCTGTTCATATTTATTAGTATTTCTTTTTTTTTTTTAAGACTAGTCGAGTTAATATTTCTTTATAGGTAGTGAGATCACTACTATAACATTTAAAAAAATCTCTCACCCATTATATGGTCATTGTTAGGTGGGTAATGTAATCAGATATATTTCATAAATGCTAGAGTACTAGACCTTCTATGTCTTAACCCGTAAGTTTTAGAAAGTTAAAATGATTGTATCTTAAAAAGGTGGGAAGTGCAATACAGTCTTTCACTTTATGGTCTTTACAAAATTCTAAGGGCATGGTTTTTTATTTGTAGTTAGTATCCCAGAAGATGATGTGAGTTTACATGTATCTCTAGCTATAAATATGTTTTATTTGATTTGGTTTTTTAAGAAAAATTGAGATTGGTGCCAGGGGCAGGAGAGACACATGAAATGAGATGAAGGGGCACTGTGGAAGCCATGGAAAAGAGACTTCTGACACCTCTGATGCTTGCCTGGGAAATTTCCCATGGTAAAACGTAGAGTCACTTTTGCATCCCAAATGAAAGATTTAGTAAATCTTCCTTGGCTGTGTAACTTGGTATGGTGGGTGCCTCTGTGGATCATAAACTTCTTTTTAATTCTGATAAGACATATTTTAGCCACACCCAACAATCACCCGCTTACCATCATTTTTAGAAATTGGAATCTCCCAGATGATAACCATAATTAGTTTCTTTCTTGTGATATTATAAGTCTACAGTGGAACTAGAAAGATTCACTTCTATAGGAGCAGTTGTTACTGAGAGATCAAATATGTTTTTGAATCTTAATATAGCTAAGCCATGATTTGGTCTGAATTGATCCCATTGCAATGTTTTTCTTTGCTGTATTCGTCAAGTGCATATTAAGCACATCGAGTCCCCTTACTAACCTCTCTATTTTCTTCTTTTGATCTCTTTCTCTGCTGGCTCCTTCCTCTCTGTCTTAAGCTCTCCTTCAAAGGAGGATGTATTTCTCACATATACCATCACTAGCTTGCATTTTCTTCCACCTCCCAAAACCAATACCAATTTCTATGCCAGTTCATATAAGAACATGCAAAATCTAGGAAGGGTGAAGTCATAAAATAAAGAAAAGTTCTTTATATAAATTTAACATTATTTCACTACACTATTTCCTTTTTCTCTTTCTTTAAGCATCAATGAAATCATTATAGTTCATCTTCAATCCATAAGCCAGTATTTGGAAACCACTGTGTTATATTATACTGCCCTGAGAATGTTATAGATCTCTAAACTTTAGTCTGGTGTCCATGAACCTCTTAAACTTTTACATAAAATTTTACATATATGTTCATTTTTATGAGAAGGCAGCAATCATAGTTTTTATGAAAGGCATTTGTGTCCCCTAAAATGTTAAGAACCTCTGTTACAGATAAAATCTTGACAAGATCCTTGCTACTGGCTTACATTGTCTATACTTTCTCACCTCTCACCTGTTAACAAGCTGCCATCTCTTATCACACCTGATCTCTGTAGGGTATGATTTACCTAACCACTCCTTCCTTGGACTAAACACCAAGATATTTCACTTTAATCTTGGTCATTTCTCTTTTCTTTTTCCCTCAAGTATTGGTTGGTGTTCCCTACTTCGTCTCTCCCTTGTTTACTAATATAGATTGGATGATCTTATTAACTCCTTCAGCTAAAACTAGCCATACCAACTCCCAGGTCTGTGCTCTAGACTTGTATTTTCAACCATCTGTTTCTTTCTGTCTGTCCCAAGGGCACCCCCATAGAAACAAGAATGCTGTAAACTTAATTCACGTTCCACCAAGCCTATATCTCCCCACTACACTCACTGACCCGTCAGGAGCTTGATTTCATTCTTGTTTTTCTCTGACCATTTACATCTAACTCATCACCAGGTTATGTCAGTTTTAATTTCTCTTTAACCCTTGAGTTAACCCTGCCTTCTCATTTTCTCTCTACAGAGCCTCAAATGAGTGTCAGATTCAACATTAGCCTTACCTAGAAAGTCTTCATTCTCAACTCAGCCTTTTTCAAGTTGATTGCCCAAGGCATTCTAACATAAACTCCTATCTCTTTTGCAATATAGATCCCTTTGAAAATATGAATGCTGTTGGACCCTCTCCCTAGAAAATTGCACACTCAAAATTTACTAAGATTCCATTGGTTCTTGAATTCCCTTGAAGTCTATCCATGATGTGTAGGTTAAGAATTGCTGATGATGGAAAGCGTGGTGCTGATAACACAAGATCAAGCATTCAGATCCCTGTACCAGCCAGCTACCAAGAAAAAAAAAAAAAAAAAACCAATGGGCCGGCCCGGCGGCGCACTGCTACAGTGCGCCGCTTGGGAAGCGCAGCAGCGCTCCCGCCGAGGGTTCGGATCCCACATACAGACCGGCCGCTCACTGGCTGAGCGAGGTGCGGGAGCAACACCAAGGGTTGAGGTCCCGTTGCCGGTCCCAGTCCGGTACGGGCGTGACACTGAGGGTTGTGATCCATTGCCGGTCACGAAGAAAGACAAAAAAAAAAAAACCAATGGGCCGGCCCGGCGGCGCACTGCTACAGTGCGCCGCTTGGGAAGCGCAGCAGCGCTCCCGCCGAGGGTTCGGATCCCACATACAGACCGGCCGCTCACTGGCTGAGCGAGGTGCGGGAGCAACACCAAGGGTTGAGGTCCCGTTGCCGGTCCCAGTCCGGTACGGGCGTGACACTGAGGGTTGTGATCCATTGCCGGTCACGAAGAAAGACAAAAAAAAAAAAACCAAAAAATTCTGATGGGAGCTGGCTGGTTAGCTCAGTTGGTAAGAGTGTGGTGCTGACAACAACCAAAATCAAGGGTTTGGATCCCAGTACCATCTAGCCACCAAAAAAACAAAAAAAGGAAAGAATCACTGGTGTGACCTATCAAGGGAGCTGACTTTCATTATATTTGGATTGCCACACGTCTGTACCTTTAGTTCTTTGAAGAGCCTCGTTTTTATCACTAAAATCTATTTGTTAGAGCTTCATCTTCACTGTTTTTGTGAAACCTTCTGTAACCATGATGGCTACAAGTAATACTTTCTCTGTTGGACTGTAAGCTCCAGCATAAGAGAAGATATAATTTCACACATTATTTCTCTCACACTGTATTGTGCCTAGCTGTCTGCCAGAGATGGGAGAGCTGGAAAACTCATGTACTACTTAATTTTCTATCTTATGCTAGTTTGCAAGAACAAAAAGATTTATGAGAATTTAGCATCTTTAAACTTAGGCTTCATGGTCTCTGAATAATCACTGGCTGCTATTTCAGTTCTTTTACCCTTACCTAGCAAAGATTTCTTTGCAGTGCATGAAAAGACTTAGGCACTGATTTAGATGAGTGGATAAGGCTGACCATTATTAATGATCATTATCAATTTCACCATTAGTCTTTTATAGTGCATATATCCTCAGTAGTATAGTTCATCAGTGCTAGAGTAAATATTTGTATATCTACAATTTTGGTAAAAGTAACAAACTTACCTGTTTGCCGTCTTTGGGTGTTGGTACTTTCTATGGGCCTATAGGTGAATAGAAATGTTAAAAAGCCGGGCACAGTGGTGCATGCCTGTAATCCCAGCTGCTTGGGAGGCTGAGGCAGGAGGATTGCTTGAGCCCAGGAGTTCTGGTCTGTAGTGTGCTGTGCTCTTAAGTTCATCAGTGTGGTGACCTCCTGGTAGAGGGGCACCAGGTTGCCATAAGGAGGGGTGAAACAGCCCAGATCGGAAACAGCAGTTGAGTATTCCTGTGCTGATCAGCAATGGAATTGAGCCTGCAAAAAGCTACTGCACTTCAGCCTGGGCAATGTAGTGAGACCTTGTCTCTAAATAAATAAATAAATATTGAAAAAATTGTCCAAATAATACAGTTTATAAACTTTATATCATACAGAGAGACATACTTAGAATTGCTTTTGCTTTGGTGCTTTCTGAAATTTAAGCACTTCAACCAAATAAAAGATCAAGATAAGTTCCATTGTAAAGCTTTGTTCATTATCCATTTAGCAATACGTGTTTTATTCTAGGCCCTAGGAAAGAGCACAGAAGAGAGCCAAGGCTCCCACCCTCACAAAACTTGCATTTTAGTGGGAAGGACAAACTGTAAAAAGGTAAATAGGATAAATTCAGGGAAGGATAAGTGCATCTGAAGAATAAGGTGAGAGGACAGTGATGGATATAAGAGGAAGGTTTTTGAGAGCACAGCAGTGATGTAAAAGAGCAAGCCATGCACAGATATAGAGAAATAGCTTTCCAGACTAAGGAATGGGAAGTAAAACTGAGTTTAGCCTCTTTTGAGGAACTGGAAATATGATTATTGCTGGAGCTGTGTGGGCAAGGGTGAGAGCGGAAGATGATAATGTGAACAAAGGTTAGATCACTGAGGGCCTGTAGGCCACAATGAAGTGTGACAGGAAAAACAATTGAAAAATTTGAGCAGGGGCATGACTTAACATGTATAAAAGTTTTCTCTGGCTATTGTATGGACAAGAGGAGAAGCAAAGAGATAGGTTAAAAGACTGTTGTAGTCCAGGTGAGGGATGATGTGGCCTTCAAGTTAACATTTTTTGTGCCTCAATGTCATCATTTGTAAAATGGGACTAATGCCACCTGCTTCATACGGTCGTTATGAGAGCTAAATGAGTCAGTCAGTACATGTTAAGCATATCCTGGCACATGAACATGTTATGTAATATCCATTTAGCAGACTGGACAGAGGATGAGTGGAATTAATTCACCATGAAAATTACCTTGAATTCAATATTTGCATTAGTTGATTTAATTTTTTAAAATATGAAAAAAGGGCAGAGTCAGCATAATGTGATTTTTTTTTTTTTTAAATTTTTTTTTAAAGATGACCGGTAAGGGGATCTTAACCCTTG